ATTTCCCATTTTCAATGGGTTCAGGGTATAATTATATCTCCCACATCTTTAAAGCTAGTCTCTAAATTTTCTTATAACTAAATTTGTTTTTTATGTACATATTTCAAGGGCCTGCGCTATCACTCAGCGTTATTGCACTTACGGCCCATATTTTGCGTGTTGTATCACCGAAGTTTGGCCAGCTGGTATCAGAGGAAGCCAATCGATATGGTTATCTCAGACATATTCATTCACGCATAATTACAAATGCAGAAGAAATTGCGTTCTATAGCGGACATAAAGTGAGTAAGAAAAATATCTTGGAAATATACTAATATATATGTTGTTATGAATTAATTTGTATTCTAAATCCTTTTAATATTTAACAATCAGGTGGAGCTTCAGCAACTAAGGCAAGCGTATAATCGCCTTGTTAATCAAATGAATATTATATTTAGTCAAAAACTTTGGTTTATAATGCTAGAGCAATTCTTTATGAAATATGTATGGTCCGGCACAGGCATGGTGATGGTGTCTCTGCCAATATTAACAGGAACAGCTGTATCCACAACGACATCTTCATTCAACAATAAGACCATCGAAAGAACTGAGTCGAGTGTCAGTGAGCGAACCCAATACCTGACAACGGCCAGAAATCTGCTGATATCGGCAGCTGATGCCATAGAGCGTTTAATGTCTTCTTATAAGGAAATTGTAGCATTGGCCGGTTATACCTATCGAGTAGCTGGGATGCTAGACGTTTTCGAAGAGACCGCTCAAGGCATTTACAGCAAAGCCACGGTAATTGAGAATGAGGAAATAAATGGTATCATTGAGTTTCGTGACGGCAAACCCATTGCTAAGGGACGTATAATATATATCGACGATCCCGGCAATATGTCCATCAGCCTTCGAGCCGTGCCAGTCGTAACGCCCAACTGTGATATTGTTGTTCCCAGTTTGACCTTGTGTATTGAGCCGGGTGTTCATTTATTGATAACTGGTCCAAATGGATGTGGCAAGTCCAGCTTGTTTCGCATATTAAGTGGTCTGTGGCCCATCTATGCCGGCGAGCTGCACATTCCCCGTCCCTTGGAAAATAAGCCCTGCATGTTCTATATACCCCAAAGACCATATATGTCTATTGGCAGCCTTTGTGATCAAATCATATATCCAGATACTCGTGACGATATGAAACGAAAGGGTATGACCGAAAATGAATTGATGAACATTTTAAAAATGGTCTGCCTAGAGCATATTGCACAACGGTAAGTACTTATATAACTATATAACATGATTATATTTTTTAAAATTAAATAATGTATTTACCAAACGATGTGTACATATGTACGCATTGAAAATATGTAGCCTTGGACTATAATATTTTTGATTAAATGAGCAAAAGAGGTAGACTTAATAAATTATTGATCAGTTTGTGTTTGTCTATCTCTCCGTTCGCCGTACGCTATATATTTTAAACTCGGATCATATATGTCAATTTATAGTACTAAGATTTTCATAACCTGACCCCATTGAAAATGGGAAATCAGGTTTTGTGAAAAGTTTATAGCAGGCAGAAAGAAACATCGCAGACCCCATAAACTAGTATATATTTTTGATCGGGGCGACGAGCTGAGTCAGTATAGCTTTGTCCGTTTGTCTGTCCGTATGAACGCCTAGATCTCAGCAGATATGTATAAGATCTAGAGACACTATTGGCATTCGCAAACAGAGAAATACGTTAAAAAATATAATCATTATTTGATTAGTAATTCAAACAAAATGCAGGATTGAAAGTTGAGAATTACGGTATGTCCCATAGACAATCGCGATTAAAAATAGGTGTTTAACCCGAATTCGATCAATATTAATTCGAATAAAACTTTGTTTCAATAGTTTCCGGATTCGATACAAACACTATTTTATCTATTATCTTTTATCTATATATATAAGAGAGAGCTGTGAAAAGTGTTCCTACACTTATAACTCGAGATCTGCTGGACCAATTTTCATGG